CCAACTGGCACATATCAACCGTGTGAATTTGATGTTAAGTGCCAGTAACAAAAGACTGAGGAGGGCCGACAAGAATATGCGACCATCGGGTGCTAACAACAATCGTAAATGCTGTTAATTTTAAATAAAAAAGAGAAAAAAAAACAATCAATTATACTGGCTTCTAATATTAATCAGTTAGTAAAATTATAATGGGTTTAAATAATATATTTTTAGTGTACATTAGGGCAGGGGAAAAATTACAGAAAAAAAAAAAAAAATTAAAATATTAGCAAAAAAAAAACAAAAAAATTGAGTGGCTATTAAATATATAAGTATAATCAATTTAAAATAATTAGTACACAACATAATTATAACTTTTGGTAACTGATTAATTATAGAATTACCAATGTTTAAACAATTTATTTCTTTTTCATTATAATAAGCACTAATACTTTTAGTTAACATTTGCATGTTATAATGCTATTATATTATATGATTTAAAAAAAATATATATATATAAATATTAATTTATGATAATACAAATATAATATATTAACATTTTAAAATAGTATGTCTAATAAGTAAGAGACTTATTAAAATGTGAAGAGAAATAAATTATTTAGAATACAGTAAAACGATGTTAAATCTACCTTAATATGTATTATTTTTAATTTTAAACATACATTGATGTTTAAGTTACCAAGCAATAAAAACCATAATATTTGGCCAGTATATACAGATATTTTATCACAATATTATGTATTTCCTCCATACATAAAAACCAAAAGAAATTATTTGTACCTGATTTAAGACGACCAGCTATTAAAGTAATTCTATATTGTATATGTACACCTTTTAAATACTAAGTTGTATTTTAGATTCTATTAATTTATTGAAAATAACATTAACTTTTAAAGTAAAATATTTTGTGTAGTTTATTATAAAATGTAAGGTTAAAGTGCTACACCATTACTTTTTAACTTGAATCAGTACTAGTTGTGTACGAGTGGTGACTAAGCCTTATATTATGTCCACTTATTTTATTATGTTATAATTAGTTTTATACATATATAGTCCAAGGATTATTATATATAAAAAAAAAAAATGTATTGAAATTTAATATACGCTAACATGCATACATACTATATAACTACATACAAACACATTGAAATATATTTTATTTATCAATCTCTATAAGTTTGTTTCATTAGGCTAATTATATACAACATTATATTTAAAAATATATAATTCTAGATCCATATATTAATCTTCTTGAATTTCTTTACTATATTGTATTAGGCACATGGGTATTGAATTTTTAGTAAACAGATGATTTTAGTAATTTATATTTTATGAACTGCATTAATATCCGAATTTTCAACGGAGTTTATCAATACTTTTGACCTCATTTAAAATAATGTAATTTATTAGATGATTGACATTAATATTGTCATAGGGTATTTATTGATACTTTAATTATAATTCAGCAATAATTTGAGTTAGTTTAATGTCTATTGGTGTTCTAAAAAAACGATAATAAGACCATTATTATACTATCATTATGATAACCTGTGATTTCCCAATCAATATGTTATAGAAATGTCTCAAAAAATCCAACTTTTATGGATTTAAAATTATATTTTAAAACCTTATAATTATGTTTAATAATTGTTTGTATGTGTTATTCAATGCAAAGTACTGCAGTGTTCAGAATGATATATAATGATATTGGTATATTAATAATCATAAATTATTTGTTAAAATTATCTTTTTATTTCAAACATTAAATTTTCATTGGCATAATAAATTGTTGATATATTTCTTTTTTTCATTTTAATAATATTAATATATTTTAACTATGTACATACTAAATATATTATAATATATTGTACACAAAATCACAAGAGATTGTAAATAGTTCATTACATAATTATGAAATTTTATCTTTTTTTCTGATTTTATTTGTAATATTAACAAAATTATATATACATATATATATATATGTCAAAACCTGTGATCTAAATAAAACTTCTATGAAGCAATAAGATATACATTTATGTAAAAAATTAAAAATTAGAACGACGTGATTTTAAATGTATTAAACTTCAATTGTTTAATTTATATTACATTGTACAGAGAAAAAAAAAATTAATTTATATATCAATTATATTTTGTAGGTACAAAATTTGTTTGAAAAATGCTCTTTGCACATGCTGACTTTATATTTAATTTAAGTTAAAAATCATGTATTTGCAAAGTATAGATAAAACTATCTATATACCTACTTATTACTTATATATTATATATATCTACCATATTAATATTATTTAACATGCTGTAATAATATTAACTATTTTAATTGTATTTTTAAAATATTATGTCCACCGTTGTGTTTATATCATTTTTGTTTGATTCATAAATTTCCAATTTTATTAGATTTTATTTTATTTATTGGTATATATATATATATATATATATATAAATATATATATATATTATAATATAATAGTGACACGCAAATCATATTAATATTATAAAAATAAATATACAATATTCAATAACTATAGTAGGGTACAAGTTTGTGTTCAAAAGCAAAAAAAAAGATTGATGAAAAAAAAATTTTAAGTATTAAATATATTACCATCAGAACATAAAATTATCTAATTGTTGTTTTTATTTTTTCTTTCCAACCTACTTTTGATCATTAAATCTGCTGTACACTCGTACAGTACAGTATACCACGGAATGTACCTGTTCCTTTTGTTGTAGTAATATTATTGACTATCAAAATTTAACAGCATTATCTATATCAGTACAATTTGTATGGCAGTATGGCACGTGGCGTTTTATTAATGTGCCACTACTCTCCTCCTACCTAAACTTAAAAGTTATATATTTCAGGAACTGAATGACGGAAATCAAAAATTTAAACATCAACATTTATTTTAACCAATACTCCACCCATATGGAATTTTTAATATAAGTACTCATTTGAAAAACCAATGTTGGTATTGCCAGTCGCCACAGGATACTCAAATGTGAAAAATCCAAGTACCTATTTGAAAATATCGGCTTTAATGACACTTAAAAATTCTAGAAATTAGAATATGCAAAATTGGTATTGGTTTGTTATAGCCCCGCCGCTATAACAAACAATTATATCAATACAATATCGTCGAATTATTAGATTAATGAATATCACTAAAAAAAACTCATTGTTTCCAATATCGTTTTATTATATTATTGATTATTTGTGATAAACACCTACGGTAGGCACCTAATAGTAATGGTTCGTACTTTCCGTCAAATTATTTTATATTTATACGGTGTATTTATTGTATGGACGGCTGGGCTATAAAGTTTTCATTCACCAGGGCGGGGTTATAACAAACCAGTACCGCAAAATTAAAAAAAAAAATTGCTGATACTGGGAACGGGTGCAGTCGCTGTTGTAGGTGGGAAGTAGGGGAGGTAGGATACATAAAATTATATCTGTAAACAACGATAAACCCAGTGCTTGACGAAAGACGATTCCGAGCGCTGTTCGGTAATACATAATTTGAAGTGCCGTAATTTTTTTTGCGATTTTCGTTTAAATTTGATTTAAAACCTCTTATTGAAAAAAAAATTCAACAAAAATTTGGTCTCTTGAGTCGTTTTTCAATTAGGGCCATATTTGTGCTAGAAAATGTGGTTAGGTATTTATTTTAAATACCGTTTCGAAAATCAAAAAATGACCTACGTATTTATCAAGTAGATAAAATTTACTTTCAGAAAAGGTGCTACACTTTCTTCACATTCGGGAAATAAACAACATTGTAAAACCAATAGCTCCGTCGCTACGCTCGGAATCTAAAAGGGGCGAACAGACTTTTATTAACATACAAATAGACGGGGGTTAGAACTTCAAACCGTCTAAAGATAGATCTTCGACAACAGTTCTATTTATTATTTGTGCATAAAATTTTCATCCAGTTTTATGAGTCCAAAGAAATATCTAAACCTTGTATTTCCAGTGAAAACGTAACATTTGAACATCAAAACAGGTTGAGAGGGGGTCGAAAATTGAATTCACTAAAACGCCTATCTTTGATACTTTCACCGTAGTACCCATACACATTACATGAATAAAATGTTATACGTTATACGCTGTTTTTGTCTGGAGGGTTTGTAGGAGTGTACAAAGCTAGAAAAAAAACATTTTCCGCCTTTAACAACAAGGTGAAAAGCATATTAAAAAACAATCAAAATTGAATCGCTTCAATAACCTTATACGAAAACTCCGATTCTCGAGTTTGGGTTCATTTTTTTCGAAAAGTTTTAGAGTTTGCGTTATTTTTTCAGCCGCATTCGTTCATTAAATTGCTTTTTACTGGTAATTTATTGATCATAAACTGTTTGGAGATAATTTCATCAACGATGTCTTAAATGTATTAAAATTAACGGAAATCATAATATACAATTTTTTTTTCAATCGGTTTGTCTTCGAGGGGAATATCGATTTAGAGAAAAATTAAATTTTTATTTTCATCCCCTAAAATAAAATAACTTTTTATTTATTATTAACTTAAGAAAATTTTAAAAATAGCCATTCTGTAAAAATATTATTCTAAACATTGTAATGTGTCATACATTCATGTCCGATTAATAGTTTCTTAATCATAGCCGTTTTAATTTTTAGAAAACAGCCGTGTAAACAATTAACATTCAATAGAAGGTAAAGAATTACCGTGCTGAATGTAATTCCTTAACGCATAACGTGTTATTTTATTGAACATTAATTATTGTTTTCACGCCTATTAAAACGGCTATAACTAAGAAATTATTTATCGGTTATGAATGTGTGATACACCAACATTTTTTCAATAATATTTTTTACTGTTTTGAAAATTGAGTTAAGTTAATAAATAGAGTTATTATTTTATTTTTGTGCTTAGGGGATGAAAATAAAAATTAAATTTTTCTCCAAACCGATTGGAAAAATAAAAAAATCAAAATCATACTAAGCATTTAATAATTCCGTACCGTACACAAAATGATTTGGTAGTACACACAATGTGGCGTATTACACACAAAAATAGGCCCTGCTTCCAAGGTGGTTTTCGTCTTTCAATTGCACCTTCTATTATAGTGCGATGCGATTCTTCGTCATAGCGTAGAACATCATGTCCCATCATGTCCCACCTTCGTTGCTTTACGACATTAATTACGGATCTCGTTTCTCCAACGTGGATCAGATCAGTACATCGTCGTTCGTCGCTCTTTCTGCCCAAGGGCGGACACAGAGGTCTTGAACGGGGAGGGAGGGCAACATACAGAAATGAATAAAATAAATTAATAGGAATAGCATGGGTATAGAAATTGTCTTATTATTAGCCGACATCAAAATTAGTTACGTACAATTTTCCACTGGTAGCTTATAAGGTTGATTTTTATTTTCCATCCCACAACACTTTATAGTATAGTGTAATGTTTTTATAATATGAACTCTTTGGACCATTTCAAACGCAATGTCACATCGATAAAAACGATGGTTTAATATAAAATACAAATAATAATAATTAATAACAAACATACTAATTAGGTTTTATAAATCAAAAAAGACTTTACACTATTGATTTAAATTATTAGATTTCAAAACATTGTTATCTTTAAATTTTAACATCATTAAATAACGAGTTCGTTGATCGACAGTTTACAAAATACATTAAGGGCCGTCTCACCGACGTGAAAAAAAGACTTTTATCCGATTCTTAAACCGAGTTAATAAGACAACCGTGAACGGTCATCAGCGGTAAACTTAGTTTAAGAATCGGATAAACGGCTTTTTTTTTTTACACGTTGGTGAAACGGCCCTAAGTTTATCACAATATATTATTTATCAGTACAGAAATCAGTCATACACTGGTGTACGTGACTGGTCTTATTGCTTTAGAATGCGCTTACTTTTAATTTTGAACGGACAATCAAATTCAAATTTAAATCGACGACTACTAAACCGCATTTAGTGCCTTTCTTACCGACGTAAATGAAAAAAAAAAAAAAAAATTGAGAAGCGTTTATCCGATTAATAAACTGGGCTTACGGCCGATGACCGACCGCGATTGGTCGATTATCTTATAAACGCCGTTCAAAAAACCAACGTTTACGTTTGGTGAGAACGGGCCTAAAACATTTTAAACCGAACCTGACCAAACCTAACCGTACGCGGAGTCCTTGCACGAGAGCAAACGCGCTCGAACGCTCGACGAAACGTCAATATGTAACCGTAGTACGGCGTCGGGTCGCCCTGCACGGGCAACGTAATCGGGCGGTTGGAACGGCGAATCCGCCGCACTCGGGAAAACAAATTGTAATGCGATTTATGAATATTAGGCGTTAGGTTATTGACTCGCTGAATACTGCGAAACGGTTTCGGCGAACGCGATCAATTCGATTTTTCTATTATTAGCGCAACTATGTTTTTCCCCCGAAACGGCTTACATAAATATAATCACGGATATACATCGAGGGCGATAACCGATAAGACATTGTTTTTGTCAATTATATTTTATTGTCGCGATTCCGCACGTCGCACGGTACACGTCGAGGCGAAAATATTATTATTAAATATTATTTCGTCGCGAACGTTACGACGACGCGCGACGCGATAAAGCCGTGGGGGATGTATACGCGCAACGACAAATCGTAACAACGACGCGCGATCGACAATTTACCGTCGTTGTTATCGTTCCGATTGTTCCGATTTTATTCATTATTCATTATCGTTACAAGATAAATAACGAGTAAATTGACTTTACAGAAACAAAAAGTAACATATTTCCTATAATCTACAGCAGTGTTTCTCAAAAACTGAGAGTCGTCAAAAATATAAAATATTGGGTTACCACTGATCACGTGTAAAATATATATTTAAGGGTGGCTTAAAAAATTAAATATTTATTTAGGGGGTCGCGACGGTTGAGAAACACTGATCTATTATCATTACAGCGCGCCCGTTTCAGATAGTTCATATCATTGCTGCTAGAGGTCAGACCCTTCGCTTTTGATCGCGAATATTACCCTATGGAACAGACTGTACGAACGGCCGTGACAAGAGTTTTCTGGTAACAATACAATTTTTCAAATATAACCGTCAGTTGTCAGAACTATAGATAACAGGAGTCCACTCTCCACCCACACGCCAGTACTCTACTTTTATAATATAAGACTTTGGTTATGTTTGATATAAAATACTAATTGTTAAACTACTTTTACTTGATTATCTAATTTCAAATATATTGTTATATCTAAAATTAATAATTTATTATAACAGTAGGTATCTAAGTCTAAGAACTAAAATCAACTTTTCTATTAAAAATTACTAGGTAGGTAGATAAAAGCTTTTACTCAAGAATGAAATCATCACGTTCTGCACTCACGCGAAATGCAAGAAAAACGAGACGATTACTGTCAGATTCGTCAGACGACAGTGATAATCAGGATTCCTCATACACAGATAGTACTCGAGCAGAAAAATTTACTCGCCGTAGGCATCTAAAACCACTGTCAAGTACCAAGGTAGATATTACCTTATCTAGTACTAATGAAGAGCCTGTACATATTCGACCTGACAGAACACTCTTTAGATTATCTGATTCATCGGATCTACAATCACCAGAAGGGTCAGTATTTATACATTAATACGCTATTATCTTATCCAGTGGCTTATATATAGGTAGGGGCACTTTAGACCCTACCTCTTACCAAAGTATAAGGTTTGATTTTTACAATTACTCATAGTTCCATTATTCATATTAATTAATTAATACATTTTAATGTATCAACATTTCTAAACTATTTTAGTATTTTTAGACTAAAATTTGTGTAACTACTATAAATAAATCAGTTGTTTAAGAAAACCCACTTGTCTAACACAATTTATTCCTGTTTTATTGTAATTTTAGATTCTTCATATATTTATTTCAAGAGAATTCCTACTTGCAGTGGCGTTATGAAATAGTTTAACTCATAAAGCTTATTCTATTTGGAAACTGAGATGCCTATTAGTATATTTAGGAGTCAATTAGGAACAACTTGGTGCCTATATCGTAATTTTCTAAGAGGGGAACGAAATTAACGTTTTCCAAAAAAAAAGAAAAGAATAAGTCAAATTCAATTTCAAAGAACTTTAATATTTATCAGGGGAAACATCTGCACCTATGTCTCCCCCAAAGAGTATCCATTAGGTTATTCTTTATTATCTTAAGAATTAAGTTAAATTTTCAAAACTTTATAAAATTGTAAAATCGTTTAATAATTTAAATTGTTTATTTATTTTTTTTTTTGTGTTTTAAACTATAACCAAATTTCAGGATCGAGATATCCCAAAATTACCTTATAACACTATTAGATAAATTATAATACAAATTTAATATACATCATAATCTAGGTAAATAGGTCAATTGTAATAAATAGTTTTAGGTAGCCATTTCTGATAAATAGTTGAAAAGTACGAGGACATAGTATGATTTTTGAAAATTTGGACTAAAAGTCTAGGTATATTTTGTAACAGTCTGACAGGATTCATCTTATCATGAAATATTCTTTAAACCCTTGTGCTGGTTTTTTTTCAAAGTTTTTATTTTAGTTATTTTTAAAAAAATTAGCATTGTTATTATGTATATAAATATTACAATTATAATTTGAAAATAGAGTTAGCATTTTCAATACCAACACAATATAGATCAGTATTACAGCCATTATAGGTATCTGGTTTTAATAATATTTGTATTAAATTTTACCACAATATAGAGAAAATACATCGTAGTAGGTACCTAGCATCTACTTACATAAGCACCGACTGCATGGGTTCTCGGGGGCGCAGCCCCTATTAAAAAATAGAGTTTCCTGAACCGTGTTTACGGAATAATGTATCTGAGATTTGAGAACATTGTTAATAATGAAATTATAATCAGTAAAGTTAGACAGAATACATTTTCTTTAAATTAATATGATATTATTAAAATAAAATAAAAAGCAAATAAAAATGTTTAATTTATTTTCTATTATATTATAGGTAGTACTTATTTTATCATACTTTACATATTTGAACCAGTTTAAACTAGGACTGTAAGTGACAAAAAATCTGAGGGGGAACTGTTATCAATAAACAATTTTGAGCTTTCCTTTGTCATATAATTGTTTATTGCAAAAAAATATTAAGAGGAGACAGTTAAAATTTGGACACAAATAGTCCCCTTCCTGCGTCTCTACTCTTTAACCACATATTTAAATTATTTTGACGGGCAAAAATTAAGGCTAAAAAGTAGTAAGTTCGGCCCCCATTGAAATTTTCAAAACCTGGCATCTATGCCTACTTATCATATTATAGGCATTTTACAAATTATATAGTTTTTCAAAAGCCAAATATTTATTATGGTATAGCCGATGTTAATCCATTGCCTAGTATAGAGCGTACATAAGTGTTCTGTGTTTTTTTTATCCTTATAATTAAATAATTTATACCTAATATCTATTACTTTTTAAATATACTTATAGTGATCAAGCAGAAAAATGTTCTCTTCGTAAACATCTTTCACCAACGGCAAGTACAAATGAGAATATTTCTGCCTTGTCGTCTATCGGTTATGAGTCGGAGGTTCATATCCGATCTGATAGAACACTTTTTAGATTGTCTGAATCTTCAAAAGAGTAAGTAATTACCTATTATTTTCTACATTTTATAATTAATGTTTAATACAATAGCTTATATCTATTTCCTGAAATATTAGGATTTTTATTATCTAGATTTCTTTTACTAGATTTTTAAAATACTTACTTATTCCATTGTATTTGCACATCTTTATTGTTAGCTAGTATTAAATTACCCACCTATTTTTTTCAAATTAAAATATTATTTATATTATTATTTTATTTTAGTATCTCCTATGATGATAAAAATATTTCTTCTTCAATGAATGAATCATTTGTATCTAAATCACCACAAAATAATTTTAATGAATATAGGAATACAACACAGTCAAACGATGATGACCAATCAAAAAGTAGTGATTTTGATGTAAGTTAAAAATAAAGAAGTTGGGTAATTTTTAGTGATATACTTTTTATTTATTTAGATGCCAAGTAACAATTTTGAAAGTGAAAACGATAATAGTGAAATAGAAGAGGTTGTAGAAGAATCCATTCAATCTCTAACAGAAGACATCGCCACAAATGAATCTTTTTTCATAACACCCAAAACAGTTAAAACCAAACGTAGGATAATTTTAGATTCAAGTGATGAAAATGATGTTGAAAAGACATCCATAAATAATTCTGATTCTAGGGTGAGTGTTTTGATTGCTTAAACAAATGTATAAAGTATTAATAATTATTATTTTATACCTTGTAGGAAAAATCCCAAATTGTGGAATATGAATCGGATAGTGACCAATATACTTCTTCTTCAATGAATGAATCATCTGTATCTAAACCACCACAAAAAAATTTAAATAAATATAGAAATACAATACAATCAAAAGATGACCAATCAAAAAAAAATTTTGAGAGTGACAATGATAATAGTGAAATAGAAGAGGTTGGAGATGAATCCATTCAATCTTTAACTGGAGATATAACCACAAATGAATCTTTTTTCATACCACCCAAAACAGTTGAAACCAAACGTAGGATAATTTTAGATTCAAGTGATGAAAATGATGTTGAAAAGACATCCATAAATAATTCTGATTCTAGGGTGAGTGTTTTGATTGCTTAAACAAATGTATAAAGTATTAATAATTATTATTTTATATCTTGTAGGAAAAATCTCAAATTGTGGAATATGAATCGGATAGTGACCAATATACTTCTTTTTCAATAAATAAATCATCACAAAATAGTTTTAATAAATATAGGAATACAATACAATCAAAAGATGACCAATCAAAAAGTAGTGATTTTGATGTAAGTTAAATGCTTAGTATGTAATGCTAAGTATGTATGCTTAAATTGTTTACTTTAACAAATACATAAAGTGTTAATAACAATTATTTTATATCTTGTAGGGTAAATCTCAAATTGAAATGAAATTAGAAGATTTGTCTTTAATTGAATCTAGTGAATCTGATACTGATACGCCTGCCCATAATAAATCAACTACTTTGTCTTTTAATAAAAAAAATGGACCTATTGTTGATAAATTGAACAATTCAAATTATTTAAATACTTCACATAGTTCATCAAGTATTAATGCAATCAAAGCAAATGTATCCCGTGAAAAAAATATTGATGTGATCACTGAAATTGGTAGTCATAAATCGCCTAAATTATTATTCCCAGAAACAATTGATTTGACTGAAGATGATTTAAATAACCATATTAATTTTACAACATCAATACAAAACACTAACAAATTAACAAATAATGAATTTGAATCATTAAAAATGGAAAAAACAAGACTAGAAGAAATTATAAGTACATTTTCACAAAATATTGAAAAAATGAAAGTTAGTGAATAAAGACTATTAGTAAAATATTTTTTAATTTTAATTGTATTAAATTTATTCTGTTATTACTTTAAGAATGCTATAAAATCTATAAATTTACAACTATTACCAGATAGAGGTCTCAAATTAAAAAATTCAGTTTTAAAAGAAGAAAAAAACTTGAAAGAATCTCAAATGCAATTAGCCAATGTTCTTAGAAAATTAAAAAAATTCTCAGGTAATTTCTTTATATTTGCTTTATCTTTGGGTTTTTTTGATCTCTTAAGACTGTCCTGTCTCACTAACAAATTCTCCAACTATCTCTATCCCCATCACTAAAACGTTCTTTATCTTTACAACATTTTTTACTTAGTGGGTTTTTTCTTCCAGCGCTGTTTTTAGAAGTGTGTTTTGACTTCTTCATACATATCCAGCCCATTGCAGTATTTCTTTATTGATGATTTCTAAAATATTATTTTCGCCACACATTATTTCTAGCTATTTTTCTTCCTTAGTTTATATTATTGGATTATGCTAATCCTTTTTGGCCCAAAGATTTTCTGCATTATTTTCATTTCAAATATCAATAATTTTTTATCGTCTATTTTTCTTAGTGGCCAACTTTCAGGTCAGTACAAAATTACAGGTTGTAAATTACTGTTTTTTGTTTTAGTTTCCTTTGATAGTTATCATGTATATTAATACTTTTTCCACCTTAATTCTTACTGTTAATTCTCTTTTTACTTTGGTGTTTCCCATTATTATCGAGTCTTAAGTATTTATAGCAGTCTACTTTTATGCATATAAGTCAGCTATTCTTGTTTTCCTAAAATTATATATTCTATTTTCTGCTCATTAATATATTGTCCTACTTTCAGTGCTGGATAATTAGATCTGTTGAATAACAGATTTAATTTAGTTGTGAGATTTCTTCACTAGTACTACATTATCTAATGCCAGTAAAATGATAACCAAATCTTAACATTTTACACCTTGAGGCTCAATCTTCATCTTTATCTGTCTAATTACATTTTCTAATTTAAGTTTAAATAGAATGTTTGACATGGAATCAACTTGACTTAAAGTTCATACATTCTAATTACATTTAGCAAATCCTATTTTCAATTTCTTGTCTTTATTTAGTTTAATCTAGTATGAGACTTAGTGTCCCAAACAAATGCTTTTTTACAAGACAGGGTTGTGAACTCTGCTCTCAACTTCCACCCGGAAGACTAGTCTACACAATCAACCAAGATCAAGGTTATTGTAGTACACCTACAGTTACATTGAATAATGATAATAACACATTTGTTATGCCCAATAAATAAAATAAATATTATATTTATAATATAATATATTAGTATTTAATAAATCTGATAAATGTATATAGTAAATAAATATATAAATACAAAATTTATATATATAGAAATAATATACATTAAATTACCTATAACAATGACTGCACCCTTCCCTATTATCCTTGGACATCTTTTTTGTTTCTATATTTATATATGAGTACTAACCATTTTAATAATTTTGTTTTACTTTATTATTTTATTAGCTTATAAATGTAATTATATTTTAATCCAATAAGACTAATTATTTCTTAAAATGTATGTTCTAATTGGAATTAATGTACAGAAGAACGAATTGATCAAACTCCATCAACGACTTTAGACTTTCCTAGACCATTGAATATAAATCCATTAATAAAAAAAGCTGCTGCAAATGTTGACATCAATGCTATGGGCAGCAAAGGTATTTTAAAATCATTAATTTTAAATGTAATTTATTGTTTAATAAAAATCATTTTGATATTTTCATATTAGCTTATAGTACTTACCGTGCACAGCAAGCTATGACTATGGATGTATTACACAGTTTACACAAATCATTAGAAACATGTCCACCCTCTAATATTTTAGCTGATGATCCACAAGGATTAAAAGTAGAACTTATGGATCATCAAAAACATGCTATAGCTTGGCTAATGTGGAGAGAGGGTCAAAAACCACATGGTGGGATTTTAGGTAAATAGAAATGTTTACATTAAATAATCAATTTGTTTTGAAATTTGTAGTTTTGTTTTTCAGCTGACGATATGGGTCTAGGTAAAACACTAACAATGATTGCATTAGTTTTAAAATCGTCTGAAATGAAAGAGGAGGAAGAAAGTAGTGATTCAGATAATTCTATTCAAGATTCTATACGCAATAGTATACATCAGTTTTATTATATTCTTTAACTTGTTCATTCTAGATATGATGAAAATAAATTATTTGTAAATTACTCTGTTCCTCAGCTATAAAAGGTGGAACTCTTATTATATGTCCAGCGTCATTGATCAGTCAATGGGAAAACGAAATAAAATCAAAGGTACGTCCAAGGCTTTTAGATGTTTTTCAACATTATGGACCAAATAGAGAGACTTCTGCAAGAAGATTAGCTAGAAAAGATATTGTCATCTCAACATATAATGTGATTATGTGGGACCATAAAAAAGCAAATAATGTTAGTATTTTAAAAAAAAGTTTTTCGTGTTCGTAATAAGAAGTATATTTATATAGAGCCCTCTTTTTCAAATAAAATGGAACCGAATCATACTTGATGAAGCGCATACCATTAGGAATTACAAAAGTCAGACTTCTGTAGCTGTGAGTGAGCTATGCGGTATAAATAAATGGGCTTTATCTGGAACGCCTATTCATAATAAGGAAGCAGACTTTTATGCTTTGCTAAAGTTCATTAAGTGTCGTCCTTTTGATGACTGGGCAGTAAGTGTAGTTTATTAATGATTTAATTAGCTCATATGGGCATATTGTTTATTATACTTGTTAAAATTAAAAAAATTATTATTTAATTTGTTTGACAAGGTTAAATGTAACTTGCAAATTGTTTTATTTATAGATTCTTGGTGGAGCGAAATAGCTTATGATTTTTTTTTTTATCTATGCGCAACTTTTCTACCAAAAATCTTGCTCTGTTTTTTATATATAGCACCTTTTCTGAAAGTAAATTGAATTGGGGTTGTCATTTTTTAATTTTCTCTGGAGTTTTCTCATCATATGTGAAAAAACTGGAAAATTTACAAATATATTAGTAAAATATAATTTATATAATATATTTTTTTTCTCCATAGACTACTTTTTACCAGCAATTTTACTCAAATTTATAATGATAGGAATTTTTCTAAATGGATAAATGGAAATTGTTTGGGAAGGTATTTAAAGGAGGTAATTTTTTTGATTTTTTCCACTAGTTTTCCTAATAAATGAGAAATAACACGTGAAAACTGTAGGAAAATAAGTACAATATTAAATAAAATATATAACGTCTGTGTAATTATTTTACCACAATATGGCATATATATTGACACAGCAACTACACTATCAACTGAACTTTGCTCATAATCGTTTTTTCGTTAGCAATGGTTTATTGCTGCTAACAGACTTACCTACATTAAATTTCCCCTCTACTGCCTTCCCAAATTCTCACCTATAACAGTGGTGAATGTATGACCATGTACGAAGTATGTCCGTCTTTTGGAATATTTGTTTTGATTTATTATTTTATTTATAATTTACTGTAGGTTACAATGTATATCCAAATGTACCTCCTGTAGCATATAGTAACACGGAGTTAATAATAATTTAAATTTAAACATTACAATTTGTCTAAGTGTATAAAGTATTTTTGTTTTTTTTTTTTATTATTCAAATTTAACATTGGCGACAATAGCCATTAGTTACATATTATATTTATCTATTAGGTTATACAGCTTGGTTTTGTTTATGAACTTTGAAATTTGTGTGGTAGTGTCCTTGTCAGATCCAAGAGCTTTGTCATGGTATTGAGTATTTTCAGTTTACTAAGTTCGTTTGATTTTCTTAATGATATCTAATAGTTCTTCTTTTGAAATATTGTAATCTTTGTAAATTGTTAGAGGATCAAAGTGACCTTGATTTTTTTCAATAATATATTTAACTGTGGTATAGTCGATTTTAAAATTGTTTTGGCCGGTAAAAAGTTCTACAGATTCTAAATGTGTCAATATTCTAAAAAAAAAAGTTTCATCGATTTGGTTTTCTTATTCTTTTTTGTTTTTCAATTTTATTTTTTCTTGAGTGTTTCCCAGTTTAGAGAATTAAGCGTTTCAGTTATATCTAGAGTTAGTTCAATTGGTGTTAGGGGGGCAGATTGAATATTAAATGAATCTGGTAAAGATTTTTCGGTGTCGGAAGGTTTGTCCATTTTAATATTGTCTGTATTTGAAATTGCTTTTAAATTTTGGATTATTGGTTCTGTTGTGACTGGTGGATTGAATAGAGATGTGGGATCAAAATTGAATATTAACTCCAGTAGAGATCTTTTGGTGCCCACTGAGTGGTAGACATTTATACTGGTATTTTCTGTATTTGGAATAGCATCTAATTTTGAAGCTATGTCTGAGATGGGTATGGCATTATTTTCCATTGACATATTACTATTTGAATCATTTTGATTTGGGCATTTAGATACAATGTGCCCCTGGGACTTACATAAGTAGGAGGTTAGACAATCATCAGATCAAAAAAGATCCTATAGTTAGTGTCTTCATAGTTGATAGGAATAGATGGTGGAAATTTAATAAGGTCTTTATATTTGATGAACGTTTAGTAACGAAAGCTTAAAATATGTGTAAAATCAACTTGGATACTAAATCTTAAAAAGTTATTGGACTACAGAGAAATATATTTAATTTGACAAATTTGTTTACGATAATGTCCGGAAGTATATTCGGATAAATGTTAGATTATATATGATTCTTTTAATTAGGTTGTATAATTTACGTAATTTGAAATATTTTTCTTGTATTGTGATAGTTGGGTGATTTTCAACTAGATTATCTACTAATGACTTCCTTCATAGAAATAAACATATACAACCTTTATGTGGGACACGAATAGAATATTTGAAGGTTAAACTACTTTATCGATAGCGATTTTGTAATCTTTGTGTGGCAAGAACTTGTTTATTGATTTTTATGGTTTGTTTTTTTTTTTCTGGTAGTAAGCTATTTGCAACAGTAAAAGAAAATGATTGTATACTGTTATATATATTAATTGAGGTTTCTGTAAGATTGAAGTTTGAAATATTTTTTGATTTGGATTGTAGTTGCGATTTAAGATTTGGTGTGATTTTCGGAACATTTGGTTTATAAATGGTTTTAGTTGTAGCAATCGTTAGTGTTTTATTTTTTTATTTTTGAACATTATTAATTAGTATTGATTAACAAATCAAGGAGCTTCTTAGAGAAGGTGGTTTTGTATACATTTTGGTATTATGAGCTTGCGCCTGTTGATTAGTTTCTTGATTGTTAGCTAATAGTATAATTTACATGCATATTACCTGAATGCAATGCATACTTACTATCGGAAGCTATAAATATAGCACTCATAAAACATGATAATGTAATTATAGACTGTGCAATGATAAAGTATATTATTGTTATATTGATATCTAAAATTTGTTAAAATATTAAGTATAAAGTCAAAATATTTTTTGCATTTAAATATATGAATATAAATATATTTAGCTTATAAGTATAATTAATGTTTATTGTTCACTGTAGAGATTGAATATAATACCTAAATAATGATTTTTATTTATTGGATTTATAAAAAATTAATATTAATATGACTGAATTTAATCATATTTGTTTAAAAGGTTTGGAAACGGTGGATAGGAAATAATGATGATGCTGGTAAAAATAGACTTGCTTTATTGGTAAAGACATTATTGTTGAGACGAACAAAAGCTGAGCTTACTGAAACAACTTCATTTGAATTGCCAACAAAAAATATCCACACTATAAATGTAGAATTTGTGAAAGAAGAGAAAGAAGTCTACGAAAAAGTTTTGCTATTTTCAAGGTTTGTTTTAAACATTATATTATAGAACATTTTTCACTATTTTCTATGACTTTTTCAGCACCCTCTTTGCTTCCTATTTATGTGAAAAAGCTGAAAAAGAAAATGCTATTGACTATGGTTTTCCAGTTGCAAACAAAACTAAATATTTGCACCGTAAGTACAATTCTGAATATTTAAAAGTATACAAATTAAACTGGTCTTTTTTTTATAGAACAAGATTTAAATAATGATATTTTTCAAGACCATCCCGAATTGGATAAACTATTTAAACAATTAAAGAATAACACACATATTCAAGCTCATCACATTTTAGTATTAATAATGCGATTGAGGCAACTATGCTGTCATCCTTGTTTAATGAAAAGTGTAGGTATCTATTTATTGATAAAATAATACAATTTTGCATAAAATTGCAATGATTTTGTTTTTATAGATGTTAGAAAATGAAACTCTTCAGATTGATGGCATTCAAGATACTGGTGATTTAGAAATAATAAACACCATGAGTCGAATGTCTATAGGTATGCCAATTGTTGAAAATCATACTTCTACAATAAGCAATCCAATTTTTAAAGACTCTTGGGTCAGCTCTAAGGTATGAAATAATCATTTTAATTCACATTTATATATAATTACAAAAAATCAAATATTATTACTCATTGAAGTATTTACATTATTAGACAAATTGAATTGACTTTTATATTATTAGTATTCAATTAATAGTAATAACTAATATGTAAAATAAATAAATGTATATATAAAAATTTTAAAAAAAATTCATCATCAGCAGGTATATCACAGTCAAAATATAAAATGCGACTGAATATTAAAAGTTAAATCACTTATTTATTAATTTAGTAATTTTTTAGTTGTATACATACATTTTTTATTTATATATTTATTTACGAGTATTAACCATTTCAATAATTTTGTTTTTACTTTATTATTTTATTTACTAATATGTGATGGTTTTAAAAAAATTCTGTCTATATTACTTTATTAGAGTTGTCGGACATTATTATTGAGATCATATATAATTAAATATTTGTAACATTTTAAATTGTCTTCAATTAATACTCACATTTTATTTTTTGTGATGTTTATTATCTCTCAGATAAAATCTGTTTGTGATATGGTCAATGAAAAAGTATTAAATACAGATGACAAAGCAGTAATTGTTTCTCAATGGCCTAGTGTGTTACTGCTTGTTGATAAACGGCTAAAAACCTATAATGTTGAAACTGCTATGTTCAGTGGTGCCATTCCTGTTCCCAAAAGAAATAAAATAATTGATGAATTTACCAAATCCAAAAGAGGACCAAAGGTAAAAGAATTTAAAATAGTAAAATTATAGTACTAAATTTTCAATATTCCACTGTAATCTAAATATTATTTTTCAGATATTACTACTTTCTTTAACTGCAGGAGGTGTTGGTCTGAATTTGGTAGCAGCAAACCATCTATTTTTAGTAGATATTCATTGGAATCCACAGCTAGAGGCACAAGCATGTGATCGAATTTATAGAGTTGGACAAACCAAACCAGTAAATGTGTATAAGTTTATTTGTACAGATACCATTGAAACCTCTATACAAAAAATTCAGTCAAGTAAGCTTGCGTTGGCTAGTAACCTATTAGGCGGTTGCAGTAATGTTGAAGGTGCCAAAATAACATTAGATGATCTAAAAGAAATATTTCAAGTGAATCAACAAACCAAGAAAAATTGAAATAATTATATTAATTGTTTTGTCATCAATACTTATATTTTTTTTTTTTTTATATTAACTATTTAAATTTTATAATTTTTGACATTGATTAAATTATATTATATAATTGTTTTTCTTGTCAATATTCTACATTTTTTTATTTTTAAGTAATTATTTGAATTTTATAATTTTTATAAATTTCTTAAAAATAATATTGAATAAAATATAAATTTGTATAAATTGCAGGATTATTAGTGATCAACTAAAGTCACTATAAGTCAATATTTGTCACTTTATTTTGTATAAATTTTAAATGAAAAAAAAAGCCGATACTGGGGATGGGAGCAGCGACATCAGTAGATGAGAAATTGACAAGGTAGAATACATAAGTTTATTTTATTCATATCTGTAAGCAACGATAAACCATTGCTTGACAAAAGATAATTTATAGCGCGGTTCGATAATACATAATTTGAAGTACCATAATTTTTTTTGGTATTTTCATTTAAATTTGATTTCAAAACAGTTATTAGAAAAAAAATGTCGTCTGATAATTTTGGAGATTTAATCACGTCTAGGTAAGTTCAATATAATTATTATTACCAAGTTTTAAATCTATGTGTATTTATAACCGAATTACAGCAAAAAAATTAATAAAAGTTAAAATTCCTTTAAAGCTCAAAAGTTTTGGCAAGAATACCGTAAGAAAGTAAAACAAAAAAGGTGTCTTGTGATTTTTCGATTAAATCTTTTTCTGGTAGAAAACATCCATGTTTTTATAAAATAATGAAATCGTGAAAACGACTTACTTTAAAGTGCAATCTAGACAATTTGAGTTACACGTAAAAATCTGAGCAAGTTTACTAAGAAAAAACATGTTCACAGACTAAAACAAAAAAAGAAATAAACAGCATTGTAAAACCTTACTACGCTTAGAATCTAAAAATTACTTTCGAAAATGTCTACCAGAAATTGTTCCGATATTAAATGTGATACCATTTCTGATAGAAAATATTGTCTAGATGGTGCTTTAGGGTGGTAATTTTTTGATTTTCCAAGTGGTTTTCATAATATCTGAGATAAAACAATAAAAAAAACCCGGGAAATTAACGAAAATAATACTTATTATTATCAATTTGGTTATTCATTACTTCAATTCAAAATATCCGTAGACTTTTGTAGTTTGGACAGAAAACTTAAAATAAAGTAAAAACAAAATTATTAAATGGTTAATATTTGTAAATAAATGAATGCCTGGAGTATTATATTTATATTGTATGACCGGTTTAAAATTAAAAATTGGTCAGGTAAACCAAAAAGTTAAAACGCGAATGAATGTGAACAAATAAATGAAGGAATAATAAAACTAAAGATTATACAAATTGGTCGTTTTATACAGAAAACATTTGAGCCACTTTTGAGTTTTTAATAGGAATTGAGTTTCAAATATTCATATGGACTTGAAATTGGACACAACTTATATTTGCATTTTTTATAGATATTTTAATTTTATGAGTTTTGTACGTAATTTTTATTCGGTAGGTACTCTGTGGTAAAATTGTATGACTGCACAGAATGCTTGAAAATTTAACAGGAAGTTTATTAAAAATTATACTTGAGATCAAAACAAACAAAATTTGTCTTATTTTTTTATTTAATATGACATGATTGATTATATGTTTGGTTTGATATTTGACACTGCTACTCTTAAATAAAAAAATTATATAAATAAGGTAAAAAATAATAATAGTTATTTTGTATCATCAACTGGAACATTGTAACAATGATATTTCGACTGAAAAATCTTTATTCGCACAATATTCAAAACTTTTTGATAAGTAACAACGTGGGTGGCCATGTATAACGTACACACATTTAAAATTCAAATAAAACTTATCAAAAATATTACAATTTTGTTATATAAGATTAAAATTATAGTTTTATTATGTATGTATGTATGTATATATATATATATATATATATATTTGATGTAAATTTAGATAGAAAAATATTTTGTTTGAGATAACATCAAATTTGTAACCGAACACAATATGTTTATTTTTCTCAGTTCAAAAATATTATACCTGATAATCTACTATTATTTTTATATAAACTAATATAAGTAAGTATTAACAAAATATTTTGCAGTAATAATAATTTAACAACAAATAAAAATATATACACTCTTCATCTGTCTCCCATATCATTTATCACAGGAAATTTGAACACGAGTCTTCATAAAATTGCATTACAATAGAAATGAATATCTATTGTTAGTTTAAAAAATATAAAATATAATATTTCTGGTATTTCAAAAATGTATTGAGCTGTAAGAAATCTTAATGGATGATTTTGCGATTAACTGGAGTTGAGCAATTTAATTTAGCCAATTCTATGGCAGCACATGACTTTTGCTTAGCATTTCTTAATATACGTATTGTTTCTCCCATGACGTGATCAGCTTCAAGATGGTTCACTATTAATAACCATGAAACATTATCATTAAAGTGCAAGCCAAGAGTCTCTTCATTTTTATCCTACACAAATAAATAATTACATATTTTAACATTTATAATACTAATAATAAGTATTTAAAAACATATTTTGTTCTGAATGTATGTATCTTACAACATAATTAAAAGCAGTCATGTGTTGTACATGAGATAACGTGGGAAAATTGTTTTCGTAAGGAAGCAACCATGCACATTCCCCGGCTAATACTACCAATTCGTATTCGGTTATCACAACGCCGGGTAGGTCTATTACTTCCACAAGTCCTGAAGCAAATATTATTATTATTATATTTGTGTCCTATAGTCAAAAACAAATTAAAAAACATTGCCAATACCATTGTCTGTAGTTATAGTTGCACACTCGCAGAACACCACATGAATAATAGGCAAGTGTAGTTCATTTTTGTAAAGAATATTATTGACATATAGATAGGAGTTGGTGTTTGGAGATGAAATTAATACGTCTCGTTGTTCAAATGGTTTTATACCTAACAACAATTTATGGCGTTGTTAATGACAGATACCTACAGGAATGATAGTTTATTTTTGTAAACACATACTTTCTAAGATTGCAATTAACCGTGTGGTAATGTGAGGCACGAAGAGAACAAATGTATATTTCATGTCTTTATCTGGTTGGCTGACACAAATACTTAAACCGATATTCCACGGAAGGGTGGCTATAGACTTGACAAGACTTAATCGATGACTGGACACTTTTTGTAAGCTACATAAGAAATTCGTTTATGAGTAATGAACAAAACTAGCATAGGTTAACAATTCAGTTAATAATAAAATAATAAAGTAAATAAATATATAAATGAATATGTCGCCTGAATATACAAGTCACGACGTCGCGTTTTACATTTTAACTGTGACATAGCTGATGATGAATTTCTATTCGAAACCGATATAATACACTTATCATAATACTCCAGGCGACGCATCAATTCATTTATTCATTTTATTTTTATATATTTATTAACTTTATTTAATTCAGTTAAATTTACAATTCATCTGTTTGGCCAATATATTTGAACACATAAAATGCCCTGGTAGATATGATCGCACACCCATCAACTCTGTGATTGGGACTTGTCATTATACAATTGCACTAAAAAGTAAAACCAAAATTAAGACTTAATTTAAATTAAAAAAAAAAATTAAATAAAATTTAAGAATAAAACATACCCGAAAAATAAGCACAAATTCCTCATTTTCCCAGAAGAATTTTTCTTGAACATAATATTTTAATCGTTGGTCAACTGTAGTAAAATCAGTATAAGAGAACTGAATAGGTATATCTACTATAGATGGAACCTTAGAACTTCCTGTTTCTAGTGTACAAACAATATATTTTGAATATATTCATTAGATTCTTGTTTTAGATTTAGTTACAAATACAGTACCTCTTATCGTTGATGAACTGTCATTGCGTTTCTTTTTACTTTCATAAGCGGTACATACACTATCCGTCATTGATCCTATTATTAATATTAATTAAATTAAAATGCAAAAACAACTCAATGAACAGGTTTTAAATTATTTTAAATCAATGAGTCGTTAATACTGTGATTGGTTAATGTTTATTAAAAGCTATTTAATTTAAATTTTTTTGTGAGACAGCACTATACAATTTATAAAATATGTCTAATTATCAATTTTATAATTTATAAATCTATTTTATAAACAACTCGTGTTAAATAAAGCAATTTTAATTAGTATTTTTTTTTTTTTTTTTTTTTATGTTAATACAACCATTTTTGACTAATTTACAATTTATTTACAGAATAAACGACAAGGCATTAGAAATAAAATAATTATATAGCCAAAACAATCGTCCATATATATTTCTTTTTTTTGCAAACTTATTTATGCATTTAGTGTTTTCAATTTATAATTATTTATTTGAAACTTTATGGTCTGGTTTAGGTTAACTTTTTAATAGTTACTTTTTCAAAGAAATGAACAGTATTGTATATTATAATTTTATGTTTGGTTAAGAATTATTGAGTAAATAGTAATAAAAAATAAATTATTGTAAATATTTGATATTTATAGATTATCTTAATTTGTGTAAACTTAATTTAAAAGTTGAAGGAATTTAAAATTTAAAGATAACCAAAATGGTTTTTTTTTTTTTATTAAACTGTATTATTGTAATATATTATATAATTTGCATTATACAAAAAAAAAATTTACAAAATGAACAAAAATTCACTATAAAGTGGCTAGTTACGATAAAAAAAAATTTAGTGACAAATATTAGTTTTCTTACTACAGACACAAAATTGTTAAAATACTAACCAGAAGAGCTACTTTCAGTCAGTTCAGTTCGAACATCCGTCAGTTTTTTTCTTTCTTTTTTTGGCTCAGGTCTATAACATTTTAAATAACAACTTTTTATTAACAAATTAGATTAACGTGTAAATTATACTAAACGACTAATAAATAAAAAATTAAGCCTTAACATAATAGCTTTAGATAATACTCTATTTATAGGACACAAAACTATAGTTAAACTAATAATCAATAACATAATCTAAAATTATTCAGTAAAGTTTTTTTTAAATTTTTTGTTGTGATACAGATTAAAAACTCAATAAAATTAATATGTTTCGTATAAAGTTAAATGGATAAAATAATCAACACTGTATGTAGATTTGTTAATTTGATGTGTATTTTTGACATACCAGACTTTAATTTAACATTATTTAAAGATCGATTTTTCACTAAAAATAAATTATTACAATAATCAGTAATGTATACATCAATAATTAAGACTTACTCTGTTATCACTTCAAGTACTTCAATAGAACTTCCACTTGTATTACTTATAATTTCAACATCACTATCATTTATAGATAATTTTCGTTCTTCTGGTTCTTCTGAACCTAAAAAGAAACAAAAAATACACGAAAAAACTTTATTGTAAAATTTCAAATGTATTTATAATCTTACTAGATCTTGAGTTAATAGGTGTTGAATCATTAGAACTTTCTTTTTCTATTACATTTTGTTCATTTATTTCTGAATATTGATTTGATTTATTAGAACCAGATGGCAAAAGTTCTTCTTCTATCTGTACAACAGTACCGCACTCACAATTAGGACAATTTCTTCTTTTTTCTTCTGTAAAATAATTATTCGTTCTTTAAAATTTAAAATGTACATTATGTACATGTAATGTAAAACAATGTACCTAGTTGATTATTCTAAAACATTTTGTCACCTTTTTTAAATTTATTACAAAATTAGGCTTCAAATTTTCATAATTAATATAATATTGTAAATATAAATTAACTAATTGTTGAGAAAAATTGAGAAGGCTATTTTTTATTTGTTCATTTTAGGGTGTTTCTTTTTTGTATGGATTGCTTAAACATTATTAGGTATCATACAAAATGTCTAGTGCAATCTAATAAAATTGTATAGAGAGTGACATTTCACAAATTATGCAAGATTATTGTTTTTGTTGGATATTACTTAGTAGGTATGTATGACGTGTTATTTGGGAATGCCTGATGTGCTACTTCAGCCCTTGTTAAACAGGTATCATTATTGTGAACGGCATTTATAAGTGTTCAACTTAAAAAACTGTTTACTTTCTTTATAGGCATAAACTGTCTATAAATTAATATTCCATGTGTTTTGTAACTTCTGAGTAGTCTTACAGCACTAATGTAGGTCTGCACCGTGTGTCCGAGTCTATACTGATTATTGGTTTTTGAGGAACATTTAATATATATTTGTGAAAACAATATGATGTACTTACTAATAAAATATGTGTTTTTTTCTTGACAAAATACTGTAGCACATTTAACACACTTGAATACCAATTGGTCCATTTCACTTAAAGTTCTTGACTCTAGCTCCATACAAATTATGCTGATAAATTCCTAAAAAACAAAAAAATGTCATCATAAAGTAAAACTTCCATATAACGGTCACGAAAGAGACTAGAAAGAATGATTCCTATAGAGGCATAACACTTAACAGGAGAAATAAAACTAATCGTTACACAGGGGTGACCTTTAACAGAAGTTTTACTGTATATGTACTTATACTGTAAATATAATATTTAGTATTAAATGCATTGATATGGGCTAATTTATAATTATTTTGCAAAGAAAAATAAAATTTATACATTATACCTGAAGTTTGTTTTATTTAATTTCAAATAAACATTGGAAAAAAATAAGATAACATTTAATACATGTTAAAATATATATGATGTAAAAATTTGCATGAATTTATCATTTCCAAGTTTTAATATAATTTGAATTTGAAACAAAAACTACATAGCCCCCTCATGTTTGAATACTGAATATTATATAAAACTACTTGAATAATCAATAGAAGTCCAGTCATAAAATGAATGCTTTAATTTACTTTTGCATCGCAGTCACTCATTGCATATATTCTTTGACTCAAATTTTTTCGAATAGTCATAAAGTTTAATTGAATTTTAATTGGATCAAAGCTAATTTTGACACAACTTTTAATTGAATCCCGGCTCCACGTAGCAAGCAAATGACCGTCAATAGAACTTCTTTCATTTAAATCTCTAAACCAATAAATTAGTACATTTAGCTATTACAAAAATAATTAGTACACAAGTCAATAATAATAAAAACTGACCTTTCTGTTAAACATAGTATAATATTAGAACATTGGCCAGTTTCTGGATCTGTAATATTAGCTCTCCAATTGTTTCCTAAATACAATATAAATAAATTATTTCTCATAATATTTATAAATAATATAAATCTAATGCACAGATTTAGTTGGAACCTTGATAAGTTGAAAAAAATTGCACTTCTTCTGAGTTTTGACTTATTAAGTTTTCGAGTTATCAAAGTTTTAAAAAAAAAATTTGACTTAAAGGGTTTTTAAAATGTATGTACGTATTGTAGTTTTTAATTATTACATAGTATGTATATATAATTGCAGTGTGTATTTTCATTATTTTTATTTTAAAATTGTATTACTAAAAAAAAATAATAATAAATATGTAGTGTTGCAACTTTACAATAATTTGTTATTTTATTTTGATTAAAATTTTGAGAGCTCATGCTTTAATCAGCGGTATTTTCTACTACATTTTGAACAGAGTACGCTTTATCGTATACATTACTTGATTTTTGGGTTGACTATACCGAATGTAGTGACAATAAACCGAATAAAAAATATGATAATCAAAATAAATCAAATGAAAAATATGATAATAAACATAATATTAGGTTAAATTATGGGACACACAAGCCGATGAAACAAATGATTATACAAATTATCAGTCTATATTCGTAACCAGAATGTTCGAGTTATCTATAGTTTTTCTTTCAAGTAATAGAGGTTTTCCTAAGGGAACAGTATTTATTTCAACTTATCTAGGTTCCATTGTATTATATTTATTATTTAATAGGTAATTTAAACATTAATAATTATTGAACAAAATAGTTTTATGAACAATGACAGCTATACTAAAATTTGTAGATATTGCTAAATTTTTAAATTTTAACCCACTCCCTTGAAAAAAGTTTTTAAATTAATATAAATTTTTACCAAAATTTCAATACAACATAATATTAATCCTCCAACCAGCATTTTAACAAGCAACTATGTTATAACAACAACTGGTTATAAAATTAAAAATTAAAACATATCCAAGAGAACCAATCTTATAGTCTGTGAATCTCTGAAGTTTAAAAATTTAGTTTCGGACAAAGATTATATAGATAACGAAACCAATTTAAATATTATTTAACTATTGGGCATTAAACATTTATTTTTGTTTTATAAGAATCTCATTAGAAATGAGTAAACTTTAACTTAATACCTTTACAAACCTTTATCATAAATACATAAAAATTAGTATCAAATAACCTATAATTTTAACTCTAAATCAAGAAGGTCATGTTGTAACTGCAATTTCAATTTATCTACACATTGAACCTTTAGTAAAAAATATTCAATAAATAATCCATTAACTTGATATTAAAATTAAAATGTCATCTGACCTGTTAATAGTATCTGTTCTTCATCTTTTTGTAAAGTAAAATCTTCCATTTTTGTGGAATCTATAAGTTTGTTATTGTCTATTACAGGCTCATCACCATTTTCAAAATGAGATTCATTATCTAATACAGAACTTTGTTTTTCATCAATATTATTCAATTTTGAATTATCCTCAGTTATAGGCGGTTCTTCCTAAACAAATATTATACAACAATAACACAACTGTACTTTCTTCACATTAACAAACATTACAAAATAATAACCATACAGTAATGACTTGGGGCTGTTTGATACCCAAGATTTCTTGAACATAACTTCCACCTTGACTGTGTAACCAATTATTTTCTCCAAACTTTTGGCGGACATTTTCTATTTGTCTTTTGGTAGTTAAATGTTCTGACTTTTGAGTACCTAAAATTAAAATTAAATAACTACATAACAAATGCTAAATTTAAATGTACCGAACTTTTTGTTGTGGCAATTTTTAGTACTGGTGTTTGGATAGTACGGTTTTCATCTGATATGTGATCTTGAATTATTGGAGATCTTATTTTTGTAGCCTTAACATTTGCTAAAACATTGGAATAATAAAAACATAAATATTATTAAATCCATTAAAACTAATAATAAATGTATAATTTACTAGGAGTTTCTTGGTAATGCAAAAATGATAAATCTAATGATCTAGAAAACTGTCCAGCGAATTTCTTTTCCGATTTTGAAAGTAGTTGATTGTCAAGTTCAAACTGTTACAATAATTAATCATAAAATAATACGAATGTTTAGATGTATTTTTAAATTTCTTACAAGTTCAACTGCTGCATTTTCATGAAGATATCCACAAGTTATTTCTCTATGTTTTTCTATATATGCTATAGGATTATTTTCCAAATTTAAATATTTTAAAAAAGCCATGTCTCCTACTGCTGATATTGATTCATGGTGCAAGATCATGTTGTTTGACAGATCTAATACTTTCAAATTTGTTAATTTAAACAAACCTAGGAATACATAAAATCAATGTTGTTAAACAAATAATGTATATTTTATATGAATGTAGTGGTGGCTACCCTCAAAAAAATATTTGTAGCTAAGAATAATTCTGAGAACCTTCATAAAATATATACAAGTTAAATTTATCAGAAATCTAGAAAATAATAAAAAAAAAAACAGTTGGATCATAGGATAACTACCACTGTATAAATAAAAATGAAAAATATATTTTATGTCTGTTCAGCTATATGATATTTCATAAACAGTGGCAAGACAAACCTAATTCATAGTATTGAGAATACAATTATTTTATGAATTTCACTGTAGGTAAAATATATGTTTAAACACAAAAGGTTAGGTATTAAGATGTTAGTGTTTATATAATAATATTATAATAGATGTGATTGAAATGTAAATTCCAAAACTGAAAATATAAATGTAAAAGTAAATTTGATATAAATGGATACAATATTTTTTACTACTTGTGAATTTGTCTACATCAAAAATTATAATTAAATTTATTTTAAACTTATAAAAAGTATTGTAAATACAAATAATAGTTACCTGTTGTATTATCATTTATGAAATTATAACTCAATATTAATATAGTCAAATTTCTAGCACTATAATCACTCAATGTAGGTACTTGTGTAAGTCTATTTACACTTAATTTTAAATTGTCTAAGCATTGCAGTTTATTAATATTTTCAAGATCAGTTAATAAGTTTCTGGAAACGTCCAAATATGTAAGATGAGGTGCTAGTAATAATGATTCATCCAATTCTTTAAGACGGCAGCCTCTTAATGCTAAATATTTGAGGTTGACTAATTTTCTTTTCAATAATAAAGCTAAAGATTTGATTGCACCGTTTATAATTACAACTTCAATTTGTTCAAAATTTAGACCAATCAAATTTTCTATATTTATATCATGAAGTTCTAAATAAATTATACTATGGAAAGGTGAAAGGTTAATAGAACTATTGAGATCCACATTGGGTGACTTAAATAAATTTAACTTGGTAATTTTTTTGAGAATTTCACATAAATAATGATGATCTAAAATGTGATCCAAATGTAGTGAATACAGCACTTTGGTATTGATGGTGTGAATAATTTCTGTATTGAGTGTTAATTTTTGTTGACCAGTGATATAATATTCTCCAGTGCGTTTCAATTCAATTATTAACTTATTAACGTCTTCCATTACTGAAATTAAAACAATTAATAATATTAGTTAAGTATTGAATATTAAATTTATTATTTGTAAACAAGAAACTAACAGGATTCTTTTATAAAAATGTTTAAAAAGATTAAATTTTAATTTAAAAATGTACGGTCCTAATGATAGAAGATAAAGATATATTGATTAGAATATGCGTAATAAAAATCCCTCAATAAGCAGTGCTCTAATTTATAAATAAAAGAAGAGGGACTATTAGACATAAAAAAAAAAATTAGCGCCCCTTCAATTATTGAACACAACCCGACCCATGGGAAGCTAAGCCTTCCACACTTCCCACGCCAACTTTTAAACATAATTCGGTAATTTATAATTTCCGAAAACAAACACTACCTACTGCAGGCTAACTTTTGCTTACATAGTACCCACTATAGTAGATATTGTTTATTTTAGATTCTAATATGATGGTTACTACTATATGGTCTATGATTCTATTATGACGATGTGTTTGTTCTTTTTCTGCATGTGAACTACATTTTTCTACCAAAAATCTTGTTCCAATTATTTTTCGGTTTTCTTTACAGTATTCTTAATTATGAGGAAACCCCTAGAAAAATTTAGGTAAAACTTGTAACTGTTACATTTACTGCTCCTGTTTTATTACATTTTGTTTATTCAATGAAAAATAATCGAAGTATGAAATTCCACTGAATACTTTCATAGGTATAATCTCTTTTATACAGCTCTTTCCATACATGGTACCTTGTATCCTCCACTGATTCCCATGTGTCCAACTTCAAACAAACAGTGAAAGTACACTTATATTTCTGAAAAATTAGTCGAGGCACTCCGACCCCCCTCAATTCGAGAACTGTGAACAAGTAACAACTAGTTAAATTTTGTTTAAAATGTATTTTTACATTCATAGTGTATAATTAATTTATTGTAGACACAATGAATATGAAAAATTGTAAAAACTTTCTTTAAAATTCATCAAATTAAACATACATCTAAATACCCGACTTGGTGTTAAGAGGATAACTAATCAATTTTACATTAAATTTATCCAAGACAGCAACCAGATAGGTAACACAAATCTTTAATACTGTAGTAAAATTGAAGAGAAGAATATTTTTCAAACACACATGTGACCTTTTCGTAAAATGTTAATAGTATCTACCTAAATTTCTGGACAGTAAAATTAGGAAATTATTCTTCTGAAAATGTAATCCAAATGAACTATTTATAATCACTCACTACTCGGTCTTCTTAACATCAACTTTTTCTTTTTTTTTTTTTTAAGCAATTTTATTTAGTAAAATGGATTATAGTTTAATCAGAAACTAGTTACCATGTTGAGAACAGTTAATACAATTGAAATTGACTGGCTTTAAAAATGTATAAATGTAATTTTACTAGGTAACATAATAAGCTATGTATAAAAATATGCAGCCTGTTGAATACAAACATACTTGCTAACAAATATTATTTAATTGTAAGCTATCGCTGTTCTTCAACAAAACTATTTGCCATTTGCGTACCTCATAACAACGAACATATCGTATTTCAAAATACTACTTAAAAGCAAGGTAAGGATTTTCAATAAAAATATACACGTACGGACGCCACAGCTGGGTGGACTGGGTATTTGATACGTACATGTTTAAAATACGTGTACTTGGTTTTGGGTAAACATTGGTTTTTATTGAAATAAAAAATTGTAATCAACGGTAGGTTGCCTACATAGCATAATGTCAAACCGAAAATACACTGCGGGTATAATTACGACACGGCCGAACCAACAATGACAAAGTAAGTGGAGCGGGCGATCAAACGCGACAATGTAGAAGCTCGCAGGGTACTCACAATCTGATCCCAGTCAGTCAATGGTAACAAAGAGTTTTCGTGTTGGACTTGTCGTCGTGTCTGTTGTTTTTTTTTTTTTTTTTTCTCTTACTCTGTATACATGATTCGTGCATAAGTCGATTTACGCGGTTTCCACGACAAGAACGAGCGTGCGAAATATGGGTACTGCTCAACGGGCGAGTTATTTAAACGGCGGTGTGAAATTTTTAATTTCGAAAAGAAAAACAAGAAAACGTCGCAACTCGGAAATCGTCGGATTACGGCCGATGTGATTATTAACACGAAAATATGATAACACTGTTTACGTATTAATAAACAGGTGCCGAATGGTCTAAGGTATCACAGCGCGCGCGCGCGCGCGCTTGGGCCGATTGCGCGGGGAATGTAAAATCGAAGGACCGGCCGCGTCGGTGTCCGTCGCCCGGTGCACGACCAACCGTTCGTTCGGAAAACGTCCGACGTCGAGAAAAATCAAACGCGACGGCAATAGTTTAATACGCGCGGATACTTGTAGCGGCCGCGTTGCTCTCGGAGAACCGCGCACATATTGGGCAGTCCGCCCAGTTCTTTGTTTGTTTGTTTTTGTTTTTTTTTTCTCGGCGGGCCCCGTTATTCCGGGACGCGAGCCAGCGTTTTACGCGATTCTTTTCGAATTCGAAAGCGACGACGACACGGCGTTGTCGCGCGGGGGGGTGGGGAGGGGAGCGCATCGCTCTTGTTGTTGTTTTGGAAGCAAGTGTCAGGACGCGGGACGAGAGAGCGGCCCGGAAATTATCAATTTTTTTTTTTACACGTTCGTTTAAGAAAACCACACGGGAAATCGAACAGTTACCACCTCGGCGCGCCACCGGGTCAAAAACAACGCTACGAGAAAGTGTTGCTGTAAAGGTTTTGATCGGACCAAGAGTTCTGGTAGAAAAGTTGTTTACAGACGCAAAAACGAAAAAAAAAAAAAAAAAAAGATGGACACACTTCGCGCGATAACAGGCGAAAAATTGTAAAATAAATATAATTCGTGCGGCGCACGCCTTTGCGTGAACAAGCATCGTTGTGTATTTAATCAACCTCTGACGATTCTGAGCGAGTCCGGTTGAACGTCGAATGCTCGTTGATACACTTAAATCGAACCGTTACGCGAACATTTGCAAAACGAATGACAATTGTTTTCGAGTTGTTATTGAATTTCAACGTGCGTTTGTTCACTTCGTCGGGAATTTTCCCGATACTTTCACAATTCGCCACCGGAACAACTCAACAAGAAACCCTGTATGGTATGCACGACGGTATTGTCGGGTTCATAACCGAACGGAAGGAAATGCGTCCGCGCGAAATAGTACCGAAAACAACAGTGGACAACATTAAAAACGGGCGGCCGATATAAATCGTGTCGAAAAAAAAAAATCCGCCTCTTGATTATTTTTTTAACGACAGCGCGACAAACGAAACAAATCGAGTATTCAGAGGACGCCGTGAGCCCGCGTGTGCCGTCCCCCGTCCAGCAAAACGCCCCGCCGCGGCAAAATTCGAGGGGGTTTTCGGGGGGTTTTAGAGCGACCATCGAAAGCGCCCGATTTTCATAAAAAAAAAAAAAAAAGAGGACGTTGTTCCGGACGGCGAGGCGGGGACGGACGCGTTTTTTTCACCATTACCAATTCTCGTCGAGCAACGAGACCCGAGTTCAAAAAACCGTTTTCCACTGACCGTGACGACACACGCCGGTTTCGCCCTCCGAAATTCGCGCCCGCGCACTCTTTTCTTTTGATTTTGTTTCCCCCCTCGGAACGGGAGTTCCGCCGCGCGGAAAGTAGACGATTTCGGGTGTGACACGACGCAGCGCGCGCCGCGGGTACGCTTACATGCGTTACGCCCGCGGTGTCTAAAAATATGACGACGCCGCCGAGAACCGTACGGGGTGCTGCGGAGGAACGCGCGCCCGAACCGAGTACTTCTGGCACACGCCGAAATCGCGACTACTACCGGGCGCCCGGTTACGGGTTTCACAAGTGGCGGTGGCCGGGCGCCGTTACAAATGTTTCCGGCGGTTTTACGCGGCACTTCACGATTCCGGCGCCGATAAACGGACCTCCGAGGATCGTTAGTAACCGACACGCATGTGTCCGCGCCGTGATTGGCCGCCGCTGTTCGTGGATCGCGCCAACAACGCGACGTTTCTAATCCGCGGTAAATAAACGATCGGAGGAGAACTGAATGCAGCGATCGAGCGTTTGCGGGGAAAGTCGTCGCGTCAATTTTATTTTCGCACACGTGCCGAGTAAAAGTGTAGAGAACGCGCTCGTTACGGGCACATCCGTTTTACCACAGGTAGGCCGCCGACATCGCCTGTACCGCGCTTTAGATCGATCCGAGAACCGACCGTGAATAAATCCGTCGGGGGTTCACGGTTTTTTACGGATTATACCTCGTATGTATTTATCGTATTGCAATCGTCGCGATATTGTCCAGTTGCCTGTTACCGAACGTGCGCGATCTTTTGAAAATGCTACTTGTACTCTCTCACAGCCGCTCGTACAGAAAACCTGTACTTACCACCTCTGACCATTTCATCGTTTTGTCGGACACACCTACTCATGCGACGCGTATTGGAGATTGGGACGTGATAAGTACCCACTAGTCGTCAAAAATTTTGTTAAAAAAATGGTATAGCTCGGTCCGTAAATAAGGCCTGTCGAGTGATTAGAGATAAAACATACAATTGTCGAGGTGAAATTTTCTTTTTATCAGAAATGTCTTATTACGATTATTAATATCAAATAAACAAATAACAAATATCTGTTCAAGTCTAAAACGTGCGTGATAATGAACACTGTGGGGTATGACTTATTATTTGTTCAGCTACTTCATCAAATAAAAGTACTTGCATCCGATATTGATACCAATGAAAAATTGCATAATATTACAATAGTGATGCATACTACAGTGGCCTACTAGTTGTGTTAGTAGCTTTTAATTACTTTTAGAAATGGTTACAAATTACACACTACCTCAAGGTAGATATTGAATTTTAATAATTGTAAAATTAAAATCATGTCTCTTCTTTTTATACAGAATTTTTTCACTCAAAATAATTAGTCAGTTTAACCAAATTTCGAGACTGTACACAAAATACTAATAGCATTACATAATAAATTCTGTGAACATATCACTCATAGATTTAATCAGAATATTAATGTCTGTGATTAATAATATAGAGCACGGTTAGAGTTAATTAGGGGAAACCAATAGAAAAAAAAAATGACATGTATATTATAATAAATTACAAACATTTATTTTCAAATAATTTTAGAGAGAATTTAATAAAATTATATCCTAATGTTTTTTTTTTTTAATTTTGGTCTTTAAGACAACTTTGGATGTAGGAATGTCTAAAAAAAAATTCCATATACGTAAATAATTATCAAATAAATACATTTAATTATATTCTCTTTTCATTCAGTCAGTATAAAAATTATAAATCAAAAGCAGATGTGCTATGATAAAGGAATGCTTTGAGCTGTAAATAACTTACTGGAATGTAGGCCTAATGCATCGGATTTTTTTTTTTATAATTTTGATTCTTATTTAAAAAAAAAAATAAAAATACAGGAAAATTTAAATAAAAAATACAGTTTTTTAGGAAAATAAATATAAAAGTTCTTAGAAACACTTTCTGTGTACAATGGATGGGCCTGATTCGTCGTACTCCTGTTTGGAGATCCACATCTGTTGGAAGGTAGACAGAGAAGCCAAAATAGAACCTCCAATCCATACTGAGTATTTACGTTCTGGTGGAGCAATGATCTTGATCTTCATTGTAGATGGAGCCAAAGCAGTGATTTCCTTTTGCATTCGGTCAGCAATACCAGGGTACATGGTGGTACCTCCAGATAATACAGTGTTGGCGTACAAGTCCTTACGGATATCCACATCGCACTTCATGATGGAGTTGTATGTCGTTTCGTGGATACCACATGCTTCCATACCCAAGAACGAAGGTTGGAACAGAGCTTCTGGGCAACGGAATCTGAAAAGTACAAATATATTATGAGACATTTGTTGCTAACACAGTAGGAACATGATATCAAGAACGTGCCAAGAATAAATACTTTACCTTTCGTTTCCAATTGTGATGACTTGTCCGTCAGGTAATTCGTAAGACTTCTCTAATGAGCTAGACGAAGCAGCAGTAGCCATTTCTTGTTCAAAGTCCAAAGCGACATAGCACAATTTTTCCTTGATATCACGAACAATTTCTCTTTCAGCAGTAGTTGTAAAGCTGTATCCTCTTTCAGTAAGAATCTTCATTAGGTAGTCTGTTAAATCGCGACCAGCCAAGTCAAGACGAAGGATAGCGTGAGGGAGAGCATAACCTTCGTAGATGGGGACAGTGTGAGATACACCATCACCAGAATCTAAGACGATACCAGTGGTACGACCAGATGCATATAATGAAAGTACAGCTTGGATAGCTACATACATGGCAGGTGTGTTGAATGTTTCAAACATGATCTGTACATTTAAATTAAATTAGTTAAGATACATATATATAATATTATAATAGTTATCAAGTACTCGATGTACAAAATGTAAAAAAACAAAATATTTACCTGGGTCATCTTTTCTCGGTTAGCCTTTGGGTTCAAAGGAGCTTCTGTGAGTAAAACTGGGTGTTCTTCAGGGGCAACACGCAATTCATTGTAGAAAGTGTGATGCCAGATTTTTTCCATATCGTCCCAGTTGGTGACAATACCGTGTTCAATGGGGTATTTCAAGGTAAGAATACCTCTCTTCGATTGAGCTTCGTCTCCTACATAGCTGTCTTTTTGTCCCATACCGACCATGACTCCCTAAAAAAAAAAAAATTAATGCATTAATAATTTAAATTACTTAGGTATGATTAATTAATTCACTATAAGTAATATTTACCTGATGACGGGGACGGCCAACAATAGACGGGAAGACGGCACGTGGTGCATCATCTCCGGCAAAACCAGCTTTGCACATACCAGATCCATTGTCTACGACCAATGCGGCTACTTCTTCGTCACACATTTTGGTTGGTTGGTTTTTAATTTATTTAAAACTGTGAACAAAAATAACAACTAGTTGAGTATTTAATTTCTTAATAAATTGCACAATATAATAAGTAAACCGTTGACCATTCAATATTAACTAGTCAATAGCGTTATTAATTCACTGTAAATTACGACAATTTTCAATAAACAAGTTGTTAAGAAGAAAAAAATGTATATGACACACCTAATTAAATGGAATTAATTGAGTACTAGGAATACGAAAATAACATAATCAAATTCGTTATCACAACGAACCGTTTTCATTCAATTTAAAGATAATTGGTAATCTAGCTAGATAGACGTACACACAAGCATCGTTTAAAAAAAAAACTCATTATATCATTGAATAAATATGCTCTTAATTGCCAGTCGTTAATGTTGAAAAGAGAGAATAAGAACTTCAAGTGGAGCCGCTTATCTCTAAATCCTTGACATGTTGAAATTGAATTGTTAAAATTACTTAAATCCCGATTAATAACGAAACTCGTAAAACCAGACATTATATTTGAATGAATACAAGACGGACTACACAACAGCAGTAATAGTAGTAGAAGTAGTGGGCAGTCCCAATGTAAATTATTGTCGAATAACGTTTTTGACTTTTGACAAAAAAAAAAAAAACCGAAACCGAAACTTTGTATGAAAAACAACGACACCAAAAGAAATCGCGAACGAACCACTACACACACGTTGTCGATTTCGACGGTGTGCAATAGGACGGAAAAAACCCAATTATATCGTTGACACCACGCCGGAATGCGAAAGGAGAATAATAAAAAAAAAAAATATTGAACATCGAAACGATCGGACCGCACACAATAATTAAAACAACAGTACGACAAAAATACATCATCAAAGGCACACGTACCAAAAGTAGAAACGAAATTCCAAAAAGTCGGAACGGGGCGTAGTCGGAACACCGGAGAGCGACGTGAATGGAAAATGAAAAATAAAAAAAAAAAAACTTTCGATAAACCGGAACACGGCACTTGGACGGCGGACGGTACGAACAAACTGGTCGTGAGAGAGTTACGACGCCGGTATAAGTAGGCTCGCGCGCACTCCTTCCCAAAGGGGACCCCGCCCTTCTCCTCCGCCGGCACGGCCAAGACACGTCACCCTCCCCTCCCACCGTCGTTCACCCCGCCCGTGCCGGACACCACACCCGACGGCGACGACGGGGCGCGAAAGGGGCTACCCAAACGGCGTTTTCCACGCGCGTTCGAAATAATATGCGGACGGGGCCGTCGTCACCGTCATCCATCGTCACCCACCGCCCGACGACGACCGTTATAAATACGACGGGCGGACCCCGAGAAACCCCGAGTTGACGGAAAACCGCACGACACCGAACGCCGAGAGCGTACCCGAATGTACCGCGCGGTTCGAGATAATGAATTTTCTTAGAACCGTGCTGTACACTGCGCTAGACACGTCCTTAGACACATTTTATACCATTAACCCTTTTCGGCGATACGATAAACGCAAGACAGAAAAAAAAAAAAAACATCAATACCGCCGACGACGCGAGCGTAACAACAAGCGCGTGTGTCGCCGGCGACCCAGGTCTTTCGGATTTCGCGAAAAAAACCCGTAAAGGGCGTCGACGGATTCAGTTTTTTCCGGGGCAGACCGACAAACATCGGAGGGTCGGGGAAAAAAAAAAAAAGCCGGGATACGTAACGATAATAGTATTGTGACGGGAAAAAATTACAAAAATCTCAATAATAATAATAGTATATTTACCTGATGGAAACGAGACGAATCGACGACCGTGGAGAGTTGTTGGCGTGCGGAGCTGGCGTGAACTTCGAATTCGCGGTTCGGCGGCAGAAGTGCAGAACGGTTACGGTAGTTTTCGTGAAATGGACGAGCGCCGAGCGGTCCGGGGCCGGTGTGCATCCTGCCGGGCGAGTCCATCACGGCCGTTCCGCGGGGTCGGTGCCGGCGCAGGCCGGTAGAAGGGGAACGCGTCGCGCATACCACAAACCGAACGCGGTGCCTTACCCCGCCGCCGAATAATGGACTCGCCCGATTCCCCGCCACTTTCCGCCGGTCGCGCGGCATTACCTTATATGGGCATAAAACGAACAGCACCACGCGATTGGTCGAGAGCCGGCACAAGCCGGCGACCGCAGCCGAACGCATTCCAAACGGTATCAGCAACCGCCGCCGCCCGGCAAAGACGTTACCCCTCCGAACCTTCCGTTTCCATCGCTCGGCGGCGGCGGCGGCGGCGTTGCAGTGACGTGTTGTCTAGACGCCAACGGTGGCGTGCTCGCCGTCATGTCATCGTTTCGTTTCGAACACTCTGTATACACTCACACGATCTATAGGACCGCGATCTTTTTTTTCTTTTTTTTCCCCCCCGTTTCCAGAAATTAATAATATTATCATATTTAACCGTTCGCACGCGTGAGTTGTGTATTTTCCAGGTAACCGGAATAAACCATACCTAACGCGTTTTTTCAGTTTCTAATGTCCGTTCAACTACTGATCATATTATTTGGCAGATGTGTGGTAATAGGTTGTAGGTTTTTCCAACCCTTGCCCCGGTCGTACATCTCAACCCGTCGTGCTTTTTTAATCTACCCGGTTTTAGGTTTACACGTTTTAGTAAAAGAGAGTATTTTCAGGTTCGGACCAACAGGTAGGTTAGGTATTTTTAATTTCCCACCGGCGTCTTCGCCAAGATTTTCGTAGTTTTTTGTTTTTTCTATCGACTCGCGGGTATCGAATGTTGAAATCTGTATTTTTGTTAAGAGGACGACCACACCGACATCTACGGTCTCTGTCAAACAAATTCGCGTTCAACATTTGGACGCATTTTGTGCCGTTAACTAATTAACTTCTAACCAAACTTAAAAGCAAGACGATTATATTACGCGCCCTGGCGTTGGATGATTTTATTTTTAAACGAGATACAAACACGTTAAATGCGACAGTTTAAAAATATTTGCATAAAATATCGTAAAAAAACATCAACGCTATAGGACACGCGTAATTTACTTACCTTTAAGTTTGGTGAACAAGTTAATTCGCTTCAACAACATTAAAACTTGCGGCACGAAATGTGTCCTACCGGACGTCAGTTTTGCTGTGTCCTCGCATTGGTAAGAAGGAGACGGCATAATAATGCCGAAGCGCTTTTTAATTTTCGTCAGTGTCGTGTGATTTTTATTCCGNCTTAAAGGCAAGACGATTATATTACGCGCCCTGGCGTTGGATGATTTTATTTTTAAACGAGATACGAACACGTTAATATCGTAATTCCTGCTCCGGGGAGGTGGGGGGGGACTATTCTCAGATCGATCGAGACAAAAAGAAAAGACATATTATTTCGACCGATTGATAAATCCGTATCCTCGAAACAGTTTTCGATCATTCGTTTCGATCCGATGTTCAGTCGTCGAAAATCATATTATTTTCGATCGTTTTATCGTTTTTTTTTTTTACTCCGCTACACGCGTTCATCTCGTGTTATTAATTTCCTCACGAAAATTCGGATTTTCGAATTTCTATCGGTTTCCAACATTTTTTGATTACAATTTTCTTTTGCCGAACGTAAAAACGGTTTTACAATGTTCGACCGCTGTCTGCGAATGCACTCGATCGTATGGATTTTTATTCGACCGATGCTTTTCGATTGATTTTAGAACAGGGCCCCCGGGCGGATTTTCACAGTCTGTTGATATAATCGACGATGTGGCGACTTTTTTCGCCGTCGTGAAATATCTAAATTAATGTTTTCCGGGATGCATTGGTTTTTTTTTTTAAATTTTTTTTCGAACATTTTTCCGGTTAGTCGCTCGCAGTGTTTACGCCGTAAAAGATGCGGATTTTCCTCCCGCGTGGCGGCACCTACGCTTATACGTATAGTACTGTATAAGTGTGTTTAAAGTATGTTTTCCGGATTCCAAAGACCGCGCCCCCAATCGAGAGTACGAATTCCCGTATACTCGTGTTGTTCATGTTTGTTTTTATCGATTCCCCCCGGTTAACCTCTCCCCCCCCTCTCTCGGGCGAAGAAGAAAAATGAAGTCTGTTAATAATCGTAGGAAAAAAAAAACTATATAGGTATTTCGTGCGCAGACAAGCTTACCCCCGAGGTGTATCGACCCCGGCGCCAGGGTGTGTCGTCTGCACCGTTGATGTTTTTTCGTTGAACTATTTCGGCACCGTATGTATTCGGTCGGGTCCGCGTCGTTCGAGTCTTTCGAACCGAATCGCCACCCGAACCGTTCCGCGCCCCGTCCGGCGCAGCGGGTGAATCCGGGACGACGGCTAAATAACATTTGCGGCTCGGGGTCCGTCCAAACGATTATGTCGTTTTTCGTCCGCCGCGACCGGTGTCGTCTCACATCTGACGACGAGACGTTGCAATAATACATCTCTTTTAGATTCCGAACGAATCGAGGAATAATTGGCCTTTACTTGCTTACTTTTTTTTTTTTTTATCGATACTATGAACAATTTTTCCGCCAGAAATATCTCACTCCGATCGAAACAATTGTGTAGGAACGTTCTTTTTGGAATTGTTCCGATCTAGGGAAAGTCGTTTGTCGTGTTTTGCATTGTTTTTTTGTTTCTTAGCAGACGGGATCAAATCCAGCGATTTGTTGTACAATCCGTCGATTTCTGGGTTACCTTGGCCAACAACGACCAACAATACACTGTTCAGAAACTTTTTCGTTACCGGCGGTGTACCATAAATGAAATCGATCCGTGTGTTCTATGCGATCCATCACCGGCAACGGCCTTTTTTCTTCGGATTTCGTGTTAATCGACGACGTGGTGTTGCTGCATGATAACAATGTCATTCCCACGTGGCCACGTGTGTGTGGCGTGGCGTACACTATACATTGTTGTGCGGCCGTTTTGTTCTACTGATTGTGTATCGACTATATCGGTACCAACATGGGTAGTTTCCGCGGATCGTAATAAACGAAAATAATTTACAACTCCGTCAATCATTTTATTATCAACGGTTTTCGGGGAAAAAAAAAAAAAACAAAAACAAAAACGTGTTATCGTATAATTTGTTGACTTTATAGGACAGGTCCTGTGTGGTAAAACCAGTTCCGCGCCTCGTTAATATTAACGTCCGGCATGTCCACACGTATTTCATTTCCAATATTTGTGATTACTTTACTCCGTAATAGCATTTCGATAGATCCGTTGTGCGCGGAATATACGTCTTACACTGTGGGTAAGTCTTTAAAATCGGGTGCACGGAGTTTGATAATAACAGTACCGACTGTCATGGGCGGATCCAGCATCTATCGGTCAGGGCGCTTACCACGAGCGCAATGATTTAGGAGCTAAACCGTAATTGTTCGGTTTTTTTTTTTTTTTCGAAGTGTGTGATTTTTGACTACTGAATTATGCGATTTGATTCTGGTGGCACCATCGGATTTAACGTAAAAAAAAAAATAAACGAATATACTTCACGCGACGGGTGGGTCACTGTTGCAGGTGAGAAGTTAGGAAGGTAGAGGGCAAACTCAATGTGTGTGTGTACGCAAAGACAAATCATTGCTGACGAAAAACGGTTCGGAGCGGAGTTCGGTTTTACATGTTTTGAAAGGCCGTAATATTTACGATTTGAAAATAATAAATTTCGTAAATTTGACTACGTTTTTTCTTGTTTTTTCTCATTTATTATGAAAATCCCTGAGAAAATCAAAAAATAACTTCCTTAATAAGTACCAACCCAATATAATTTACTTTTTCTGGTAAAAAAGTTCTAAGATGGCACTTGCCTCTTGTGGATCTTCACTTGAATAGAAGCCGGGAATACACTTACCTTATTGGCAGTACCGGTTCGTGAGCCTTAATATTGCAAGTGGTGACGAGGTGAATATTTTAAAAACAAGATGTTTGTAAACACGGAGAAACAAATGGCATACTATGGGAAAATAAAAATCAATCTGTCTTCATTAATCGTTATTTGTTGATTTTGTAGGATTCAGTTATCACGGTATTTATTTTGAAACGTTTAAAAACATAATATATAGTATACCTGGTGATTTATTATTATGAGGTACACTCATTATCTCGGAAAGTATTAACTTTTTCCGGAATTTTTTTCTAGAATATTTAAGAAACAAGCAGCTCTAAAATTGTATACTTATGTCATTTTTCTGTCACTCTTATCTCTAACGGTAAAACCACTATCTACTTTTGATTTTCAAATGGCAGCCTATATTAAAACATCCATAGATAGATGGAATATTAGTTAAAATAAATATGAATGTTGAAATTTTTGATTTCTGTCAAACCGTTGACGAGTTATTCCACTTTTAAGTTAAGGTTGGAGAAGAGTAGCGGAGTATAATTTGTGTGGCAGTGCGACGCGCGGTATGTTAAAAATGCACCACTACTCTCCTCCAACCTAAAGTTTTATTATGATGTTTTTCTTTTTTTGACAGTAAACAATTTTTCTACCAGAAATCTTGCTCCAAACAAAATTGGACATTAATTACATTAAGCACATAAAATTGTTTAATTTCGCTTGTAGTTGTGAATGGGAAAAACTGGACATTTTTTTGTTTATTTCTGGTTTCCCTTGTTTTGCAACAAGTGATAAAACACTACTAATAATACTCTACTCGAATCGTTTTTCGTAATTATCCTATACATTACCCTCCTTTCCGATTTCCCTCCTAAAACAGTAACAATCATCGGTAGTGTCCGTCAGCCATCAGCTATTTATATTATTGTGTCCGTAACAGGTATACCTATTTATAGTATTATAATATTTTTTGTAGGTCGGTATCGGACAACTGAATCAATGTTGTCTATACTCTTCGTTTTTTATGCGCGTGCTTGTGCATACCGCATTGTATACTCATAAAAAATAGTCAGCTGTTTGATGTGTTTATTTATATACATTATACATTTTAAATAATAATATTGATTTTTTTTTTTTCTTGATTGTTACGAAAATAATCAATTGTAACATATTGTCACGTGTTCGCCGCAACAATATTATTGCGAATGTATACCTAATGAATCGAGGAAAAGAAGCCCCTGACCAAAAGTTATATTGGGAAAAAAAAGTCCCGTCGTAGAAAAAATAAAAGCCCCGTTATAATTGAATACGTATACACTAATAATACAAATAAAAACCATAAATATTTATTATACTTATTATTTTAAGTTGATAAAAAAACACGGGCAATTTAAAAATAATTGGTTGGATATGTTATCGGTGTTCACAAAAAAAAAAAAATCAAATTAATTAATTTAAACAAATATAATATGGGTAATTTAAAAATACAAAATACTTGCTACGTTCAATATTTACCCATAACTTTGTATTATACCACGAACTACGATATAAATTGTGATATTACGTGTACATCACGAACGATATCAAAACTAACGATAATAAAGGGGAAAGTTTAAAGGAACGAGTATTTTTTTTTTTTAAGGAGCGAGGAACGAGTCCCTCTTTTGCAGTTTAGGAACGTTACCAACACTGCGTTTAAGCCTTAAGGTACAAGGGAATAGTAGTAAAAATTTGAAAACTGGGTTAAAATAAATAAACATAAATCAAATTTAATGTTTACTTATAATATCCCCCGAGAAAATCGCTGGATCAGGATAAAAAAAAAAAAATCCCCTTGTATATCATTTATTATTAAATTATATACTGTATATTATGTATAGTATCATACGTGAAACTTTTTAAAATTAATTTAATATTATATGGACGTTGAAAAATGTTTATTTCACCTATAGTGTAATATATGTACTTATATAATAAGTATTAATATTTCAAGTATTAGGTTTATATTTTAACACCCATCATAATATAGGTACCTACCTACCTTTAGCTAGTTTAATTATTGATATCTGAGTGAAACTAATTATTATTATTATTATACATTATTTTTATGAAAATAATTCTATACTATAAAATTTAATTATTACCTTATTTTAACGAATACATTTTTTCATTTTATAATAACACACCTACTGGAAACCCTGAGCATTTAAAAAAATCCGCCAACCACACATGTATCCACTGAATTATGAAGAAAATTGAGACGCATTTTATATAGCACATAAACGATTCGTTACCACGGTTACAGTGCAATGGTGAAGCCAGCGGGTAGGCCTGGTAGACCCGGACCTACCCATTTTTCTCCGAAAATTAACACAATTTTAAAATCAAAATTCTGTATTAGTATTTAGTAGTCTTTCCAGTTTTAACATTTAAATTATTTTATCTGGCCTACCCGGTAAATATTTCTAGCTACGCCGCTAGCATTACCGTGGTCCTCGACGTCGTAATCTCTGAATTCATATAAGGTACTTTCTATTATTATTAGGCCTTGCGCGTCAAATCCGTCTGATTAATAATGCGCTTTCGAATATTTTCGCTAAGTGAGTTTGGGGACGATTCTTCAAATTTTGTAAAATTTGAAAAAATTATTAAATGACCATCTTAATGATAGGACTTTTCCACTGAACAGTGAACTATTTCCTGGTACTCATTTAAGGGGCCGGCATATGGACAAACATGATATTTTAGACCTCATATTAGATGTCTGGAGTAAAATACGTACAAACGTATTTGAATTCCTTGATTTCTTGTCTACATTGATAGAAATCAAAAATTGCAATACCAAGTTAAACTAATGCTCCATCTATTTATGAAATTTTAAATATAGGTTACCACTTGAAAATCAAAAATAGGTAATCGTTGCACCCCCAAAAATAAGATTATAAAAAATAATAGTTATGTAACATTTTCGCTTGTTTCTTAAATTTTAAAAAAACATTGTTTGAAAAAAAAATTCAATAATTTTTTCGTATCCAGTGTTTTACGATATAAAGTTCACCATTCAAAGGTTTTAATGTTTATAGGTTGCCATTTTCCATCATATTATTATGTCGAATGAAGAATATTACGATTATAATATCTACTTATCGTTCGTTATACTATATCTATGATAAAATAAATAATACATTTTGCAAATTCGTACATTGGCCAATCCGTTAAACAATATTATAATAACGTGCAACTGCAGTATGTCGTGGACTGTGGAAAAAGTGAAGAGAAACATGTTTCAACGATTGAGTGCGGTAAAAATGAAAAATGGAGATATTTCTATATAATATTATATGGTAGACTATTGATTATGAAAGTAACGTCCGATATTACAAACGTCGGGTATTACAAACCCATTATTGATTAAAATATATTTTTTTTTTTTTTTTTATGAAATGCCTCGTAATAGTCCTCGGAAATCATCTGGTTGATAATAATATTTGTCGCGTGTTTATTTTTTTGTTCCATTTGTAATCCGTTTGGATCGATGACGGTATATATAAAATCATATATACACGGACAATTTGTAAAGCTGATTACTCATGATTATTTTTAAGGAGTATCGATGTTTTAGAACTGTGAGAATTTAAAACCGCCTCCATAAACGTCACGAATTCAGAGTTTATTTTTTTTTTTGGCGCATCAATCAAGCAAAGTGCTATTATGGGCAATGGACATTTATGATTTGTGTCAAGTTACAACTGTAAGTATAAAACGTCGATATTTTTTTTTCATATTTCTCAAGTTAGACATTTTTTTTTTTCTAGTTTTTCTGACTTTTATTAATATTTGTTCAATGTTTATTTTAGGGTTGTATAGTGATGCTTTTAAACGATTTTTTATTAATTTTAAGTGCTAAAAGTCTTGTACTATGATCATGGCAATAATAATATAAATGTGGAAAAAGGTGAAAGTTCATTTTTTTTTTTTTTTTACTCGAGTGTTGTCTGTGTCTAATAATGTAATTAGTATTTTTTGCTGCCTAATACATTTTATATT